CGCCCTTCTTTGGACTCACTTCAGGAGCTCAATATCTCTCTTAAAGCGAGGGGCCCAAAACTGGACACAATATTCCAGGTGCAGCCTCACCAGTGCCGAGTACAGGGGCAGGATCACTTCCCTGCTCCTGCTGGTCACACTATTCTTGATACACGCCAGTATCCCATTGGCCTTTTTGGCCACCTGGGCACACTGCTGGCTCATATCAAGCCGGCAGTCAACCAACACCCCCAGGTCCTTCTCTGCCAGGCAGCTCTCCAGCCACTCTTCCCCGAGCCTATAGCGATGAAGGGAGGTGCAGTGTGATGCCTGAACAGCATATGAGGAAGGAGAGAGGGAACAGGAAACTAAATTCACCTCTGGCTTCAGGAGAATTATGAATTCAGCTCCGAACTGGGGCCAAAACCTGAAATCCACTAGATGTACAAAGAAAATTTGCACCAGGTGGGACAGGACAGTCCAAGTGTTTCCAACTGCATCAGCATCTAAACTTCCCAGACAAGTGGAGACTTGCATTTTCTAGGTTTGAACAATATTACATGCTGCTTCCCAAGTTCCTAGCTTTTCCTGATGCCAGAAACTTCATATAGCATCTTCTTTCAGTGTTTACTTGTTGGTCTAAGATTTTTGTTTCTTCTTTTAGCAGTCCTGCGTTCTATCATACGCACCAGCTTAATTTTCCCTCAATCCCATTTATTATTTCAATACCTGATTGGCACAAATGATTCTTTCCTCCTCTTTCCCCTTCCTTTTCCCCTTCTCCCTTCTCTCTTTAAGCTACTTAACTGGTAACGATACAGTAAAATGAGAAAAGGAAAACTTCTCACTCCATCAGATCTCCAGCAGGGGTGCTGAGAGCAGAGCAAGAAATCTGCTTGTTTTGGAAAAGCAAAGGAACCAAATAGGAAACATGAGTTCTCACAGGGAAGTTTCATTGTACATTGGAGGATACACTCTGAAATTTTAAGTGCATTTTTTCAGTCTATTTGGAGTTGATTTTTATTTTCCTGGCAGGTGCCTGCCTACCTCCCTCTTCAGAGGCATCCAAGCCCTGACTAACTCACACTTTAATCATATGTCTCAGTGACAAGCATGTGCTTTTCCCCCTTTAAAAAGAGTTCTCAAAATCCTTCTGAAGTCCATGGTTTATTTTGGCTTACTTTACTAGTTTTTACTGTAACATTTTACATCGCTGGATCTGAGCTTGAGGCTGATGATTTATCAGGAGAGAAATGCCTAATTGTCTGTCTTTTCCCCTTATTTATTAAACCAATTTACTGACCTTTTTTAAAGGAGACTGCCACACTTCTTTGTTTGAATAAAAGATCAGGAAGGGAGTTCTAGCATCCTAGGCTTTTCTTAAAAGCTACAAGGAACCTCCTTACTTTCCCTTGCACAAGGGAGCTATGTCCTTATTGCTTTTGCTAAAAATGCTCTCATTTGATCTCTGCTTCATCTTCTCTAGTTTTGCATAGTGGTCTTCTAAAATTAATGGTTTGTGCTACATTTAGTTTTGGGTTATCTAGAGAAGAACTACTCATTTCTAAGGAAAATTTGCCTTTGTTAATGCTACCTCCTTTGGGCTCACCAGGCTCCAAGCTGACCTGTCTTTTGGAGCAGGTTGAGCCAAGATACGGCTTTTTCCATAGCTTATGAGGCCTTTAGACAACAGCAGGTATGTAGTTTCAAAGAGGACTGGAAAAGTTGAGAAAGATCAGCTTTCTCAGTAATGGTCAGGAAAATTAATAACAATTTTTCTTTTCCCTGCAACTCTCTTTGGACTAGTGACATATTCTTCTGCAAGCCAACCTTAAAGCAGAGTGAAACAAGTATAGTAGAAGAATTCTAAGATATTGTGGGTTTTTTTGAAACTCTCCACTTGAACTTGAAACATTGCTGTCTTTAATATTGCAGATATTGCTGCACCTCCATCCTGATGAGTAGCCATTGTTTCTCTAACATCTCTCTATTGTGCTAACTTTGCATTTGCAGGAAGTTTGCTAGATTTCTTAAAAGATGGAGAAGGAAGAGCTTTGAAGTTACCGAATTTGGTGGACATGGCAGCCCAGGTCTGTCTTCAGATCATTGAGCACTTAAGTGTGTATGTTTTATATCCCGTGTATGTCTGAGTTCATTTTGAAATGCACCGATTGTGTTCCATGCTTCTCGCAGGTGGCTGCAGGAATGGCGTACATCGAGCGAATGAATTACATACACAGAGATCTGCGGTCTGCAAACATTCTGGTGGGCAATGGCCTAATATGCAAGATTGCCGACTTCGGATTGGCAAGACTGATTGAAGACAACGAATATACGGCCAGACAAGGTAGATACAGCGGCAAGTGTAGCACTGAGTGTCATTCTTGTGATGAAAAGAGTGGAACATGGCTTTAAAAAGCGCTCTTTCATATGCTTTGGGGTTGCTTTCAGTTAAATCCTGAACTCATTTCAACTCCTAGCCCACAACTTCACTGCTGAATGCATGTCCTAAAGAGAACGTCTTACTTAGTTGTCTTCTCTTTAAAAACTGACTGCAATGAAACAAAGATGATGAGTGGGAGCACAGATGGGTGAAGTGACAGTAAAGACAAGATCCTCATGGTGCCATAACAAAGAGGCTACTTTACTTACCAGCCTTGAAAGCCTGAATGGAGTTATCCAGCAAAGCCTGTGTAAGCTATTTCTTTTGTACCGTCCCTTCTAGTATTTACTAACCGCTATCAACATTGCTGTGCTATTCTTATTTTCTTTATTTCAAACGAGTCAAAGAATTGTGTCTCTCTCTTCAATGGAGCTGTCTCTCTGAGAGCTATGTTTTCTTTGGGAACTTGAAAAGTTGCTTTAATAGAAAAGCTGTTTTCCAGTGCCACACAGAGTGCTGGGCACAGCCGACCACTGATACACTATAAAAATGTCTCAGAGAGTATTGTAGCTTTTTTTAAAAAAGCATGTGTGTGTTTAGACTGAGCCATGACACAGGCTCTTTGTAGTTAGTCATTCTTTACAAGTCATGCTTAGTTGTCAGATGTTGGTCCAAGTTTGCAGGGCTGCAGTTTTGTTCTCTTTCTGTTGGCAGTACATTGGTAGCGCTTGCTCAATATGTGTCAGTAAATACCACTCTGTTCGTTTCAGTGCCAAAGCCAAGGAGTGATCCGTTAAACCCTGTTATATGTCACCAGAAAGGGCCGGTTGGTTAAGTACTTCATAACCTGCATTTACCCCTTCCTGTTGTGAGTTTTTTCTCTTGACCAGAAACCCCTGTTTCAGCATGGGTTTTGCTATTAATTCCTAGGAAAGAGCTAACCTCTTTCTGTAACTTTCAAGTGTTGACAGAAGGAGCCAGAGAGTTTCCAGCATGCCTCGTCTTGGCCTGGGAGCAGCAGCTCTCACACCATTCACACCCCTCTGAACTGCTGTCAGCAGTACCTAGTCGCAGGGATGTGGACCACAGGCTGCGTCCACCCTAAAAGTTGCCTGCTTCACATTTGGACGGTGAGGCCTGATTATTCTGGAAGGGCTCTTGAAGAACTCGTGGTAGGTGTTAATGCAGAGAGCTAACCACTGTTGATTTCAGCCTGAGGGTGGGAATTGCTCCTTGCTAGAGAAAATAGCCTCGTGTCATTCTCTCCGGAGTAACAAGAGCGTCTGCAGGCTCTGGTAGACAGAAAGCTGCCTGCTTGCCCTTCCCCTGTGTAAAATGAGAAGAGTTTTCCTTGAACAAGGCAGCCGGATCCAGTCTGCAGAATGGCTTTGAAACAGTGTCCTGTATTATCTCTGTTTCTGTCTGTTTTCCTGCCATCTCTGTTGTTCCCTTTGGAAACCACCCAACATATAGTTTGACATGACTAAGTGTTTGTTTTAATAGGCAAGTATGTGACCTACTTCTGGCCAGATCTCTTCAGGCTCCTGATCCCTAGGAAATCCTCTGATGGCTGGTTTTCTTCCTGGTTTAAATCTCTCGGAATAGTTTTGCCCTCTTCACGTGTTAGAAAGCCATGAAAACCTGCCTGACCGATGCTGAGGAGAAGCTTAGATTTTTTAAGACAATAAAAATTATTGGATTTGGGGTAGGAAAACGTTGAGCTGAGAAAAGCATAACACTGGGACTGGCAGGGAGAGAGACCGTAGTCATGGGTATCTCCTGCCTTCTTCCGCAACGGAAATCACTTGTATTGTGGAAAAAGTGGCCAGAAATAGAGAAGTAATTTGACTTTTAACCCACATCACTGATGATCAGGAGATCTGAATCATGTTTTCCTGGCTTCATCTGGGATGGGTGACATGGAGAAGTCACCCAGTGTTCCCATACTTCAGGGCAATGGACAATACTTCCTTCCCCTGACCTCAGGGCATCAGGCTTAAGTCCTTCAAAGCTACAGAATTTTTTAAAAGAGAGACCCAAAGAGCTGTAATCACAAGCATCTCTTGGAAAGGTTTCCCTACTTTCACTAATGTTTTTTTGACCCTTTCTTAAGTGATATCTTGTTCTAGGGAGGGGTGCATTTTGGCCAAGCAGCATGCTCTCAATTTACATTTCATTGCAATTAACCTGGCTTCCAAGCCAGCTGGGCAGCCAGGCTGAGCCTGAGACCTTTAATTTATTGAGGAAGAAACATGGTTTCTAATGTGCCACTGGAATTTTTCTTCAAGTGGGATTCAGGCCTGGTTTGTTTAGTTAAACTTCAGATTTGAGCACTGCTTGGTGGAGACCACAGTATCAGAAGGAAATGGTTGCCTCTGCTTGTTTCCCATGACCTATTACTTCAGCCTCCAAGGGGATGCATCTGGGGACCGCTCTGTTTATCTAGCTGACTACTGCTTCAGTGGGAATTTTGACACGGGAGGAGAGCCTGGCCAGCGGAGGGGAGGGGAACGGCGAGCTCACCAGACTGGCAGCTCCTGTGGGAGAAAGGAAATGTTTTGCCTTACAAAATCTGAAGATTAAAGCCTCTGGTCACTCTCTCCTCTGCAGTCGTCCTTCTCTTGGCTTAAGTGTGTTAGTACAGAGCTCATTGTCGGCGTGGGGAAGAGGTGGTTTTCTCCAGCCTTGCTTGATCTCCTACTCCCTTCCCCCACTGTCATTTTTGTCTCCGATTAAATATTTTGAAAGGAAACAGATGGGGATGCTTTCAGCCCCCAGCGGGCTAGAGTGCAGGATTCCTGAACCTGTATGGGTATTACTCAGCCTGGTGGTAACGTTTTACTGACTGGTTTATTTTCTTTTTGGATTGAACAAAGGAGGCTTGACTTCTCTTGATTTATGAGAGGTAAATAAAAAGTGGTTCGTTGTCTGCACTGCCATTTCTCAGCAATGGTCAGGGAGGAAAGACATGGTCACGCAGCTAATGATTTAAAGTGTGTGACTAGCAGCTATACACTGCCATTAAATAATACAAAAAAAAGTTCTTGGCTTGTAATGAGACTTTGGCTTCTCTTACTTTTAGAGGAAGTGAGTAATCAAAGGGGAAAAACACGCCTGTTAAAGTGACGCCCATTTTTAAGGCTACACTGGTGGACTGCATTGCAGCCTACACCATTGGGGCTTGCTTCTTTTGGCTGCTGTTGTTGCAACATCTTCCCTCCCTGCCCCAGTTTCAGGCATTCAGTCTTGTTTCCTTCCACCAGTGACGATGCTTCTGTCAGTCCTGTAAGACTTTAAACTCCTGATATCCTACAGGACAGACAGAAGCTTCCCATCACCTCCAACACAGAATTTCCCATGCAGTTCTGCTACCCTTACACTGATCTTGTTCGCAGCTATGCGGAGTTTTGGCCAAGCACATGGCATTTTTGTGGAGAGTGCCGAGTGCTCCAGAGTTGCTGGGGAAGAGTTGTTACTATTCTAAGTAGTAGCAGCTGATAGAAATTTAAAATTGTCTTAATAAAAAAAAGAGCAGAGTTATTTTCCAGGCCATGTTTCTACAGCGTACACTGGCAGCACTTGCACCAGTGCCGCTCCAAGCACACATGAAACAATAAGGATCTTTCTGACGCCTTCCAGAAAAATCAGAGCTATTTTGAGAGCTCTAGTACGTGTTTGTAAACTCTCAAATCATTTTTGCCTCCTTAACACTTAGAAATATCTCCTTCCTGCCCTGCTTAAAAACAAGCGATGCCTCTTATTTTGATTTCCTAGAAGTAATCAGGGATTTTTTTCCCCCTTCCAGGTTCTCCCCAGTCCTTTTGTAGAGACTTGGCTCCCAGCTCACCAGCTAATCAGATCTCTCTTGTTCACGACTGACTGTACTTTGAGCTGTAATGTCTAGGGCTTTGTTCTTGCTCTCTACCTGCCGTTCTCTGGGACAGCTGTGGAGCGGACAGCAGGAAGGACTCTTGCTTCCCAACAGCCAGCCCCCAGGGTCTCAGAGGGGGATCACTCATATGCTCCTACAGAGATGCCATCTGCTCTTCAAGAAGGAGCGTGGCCAGGTCAAGAGGAAGGCCAAAGGGAAGAGGGGGTGTGCAGACAGAGGGCCAGAGGGGTGTTCAGACCCGCAGTTCCGCCCCTTGTCTCCCCACTTCCCGGGGAGGGGTCAGCCTGCGGAGCCTGCTTCTGATCCTGATGTTTTGCCAGGCTTGTAATTACATGTTCGTTCTCACAGCACAAAAAATGTAATTGCGCAGTCCCTCCCACACGGTACTCATCATTGCCTACCAGGGCTGACTCGTTTCCTGTTACATGCTTGCTTCAGCACTTCATTTTTACCTTTTGTGGCTTTTCCTTTCCAGACCCAGGATCAATTGAGTGCTGCACTACGTTCTAGGATCGCTAACCCAAGAGTTGCCCTGGTTTTTGGGTCTTAGAGCTTGGGGTGCTGCGTTTGGTTTGGTTTTAAGTTATGAGAAGTAGCAGCTTTGTAACATTTCTGGAAACAGGCAGTTGCTCTGGGGCATGAATTTCAGAGGTTTCTGATTCCTCGAGATTTAGATCTGAAAAAACAAAGCTCTGAGGGATTTTCACTTGCCTCAGAAGAAACCATGCTGAGAGCTGTACGTCAAGGTCACCCAATTATCCCAGCCCCCTCTGCTCCTTCTCATCACGCGATCTGCTTAGAGCCAACGAAGAATTAAAACAGAGCCACGCATTGATTTTTCCCAAGGAAATCCTCCTGAGAGATAACCTGTGTGAATGCCTGGGCAGAGCTGGGCAGAGGTCCCAAGAACAGGGCTGAGCCTCACAAAAATTCTCAGAGGTAGGATTCGGGGCCAACTGCTGTAACAGTAAATTGTCCAAGCAGCTTTGGCTTGATGCAGTTGCAAGCAGTGCAAAAACCCAAAAAAGGCTTTCCCCAGGCTCAAAAAAGGGACAGAGATAAAAGCTGCAGATCAGTACCTCGCTTTGGGGCAAAGACAGGCTATCCTGACCTAATAACGCAGTGCGCAGCTCGTTCCTACCCATGGAGTTACTGACCTGCTAGTTTGTAATAAAATGGATTCCAGAAAAAAAAAAAAAAGAGAGAAATCCCCCCCACTGATGTAAAATCTGCCTTCAAAGTAGGAGATAGGCTGCCTTGTCAGCTGGGGTAATTTGCTTTATCAGATTTATTAACATGCTTGTCAGTAATACGCATTTTATCTGATGATCTGATGCTGTAATTTGTTTGCAGCACAAAGTCAGCGTGTTTAATGAGCTGCTGAGGCCTGGGCAGAGGGAGGGGGTGGGTTTTTTAATCGGCATGTTGGGAAGAGAATAAGCGCGGAGACCGTGTGTTGGTCAGGAGCCACGCACAGTGCCTGGCCTGTGCAAACGCTTCGTATAGCAGCAGCAATCAGGAGGCTTCGGGGAGGTGCTCAGCACGTTTGGGGATTTTTGTGTTTTCACAGAAGTGCACTGCCTGTGTCTCCAGGGCCAGACAGTAGATGGGAGGCGGCACCTTGGGGGGATCCCTGTTAGACACTCACACACAGCCCCGTTCGCACAAGCTGTGTGTAATCTCTTTGTGTCGTGGCAGTGCATGTGCTGTACCTGCAGCTGTGCAGGTGGCCAGCCTGGTACGTCGTCACTGGTCTCAGCCCTTACTGGTGGCTCTGCCATACTGCTTTGCAGGCTCTCGTGGTCCATCTAGCTTCCAGCATGCAGTGCAGGAGCAGAAAACCATGAGGCAGGGCTCTGCTAGTGACCTCCCTGCCAACCTTGCCTTTCCCTCTTTCCCATCTATCACTTCAAACCAAAGTTCAGGAAATACTGCACAAAATGCAGAACATGTGTTTTTTGTATTAATTGTTTTAGCCAGAGAATCACTTATGGCAGGGGCAACATAGGAACCTAATGAGTAGCTATCCTGTTATTGGAAAATCCATTGGAAAAGACCATTTGTCTTCTCCAGCAGTGCTCATCACAGCCCAATGGGGTTTGTACTGTCTAGCTCTCAGGACGAGGGATGCGCTGGAATTGTTCCTCCTTCTCACTTACTTACCTTGCTTCTCACCTTCCTGTGGTCCCTTGACACTCCACATATTCAGCTCCTTGTGCCACACTGACACTAGATGAGGAAAGCAAAAATACAGGGGGAGCTGGCCACAAAGGAGTGTGAAGAGATTTCTTTCCTCCAAAGATGAGTTGTAGGTGGTTGCTACCTTTGGATCCGAGTGTGAAGCACAAGCGAATTAGACCAGGTCTGGCTCAGCTTCTCAGAAAAACACAGCTGATTAAAGAAAAAAAAAAAAATTGTTTCATAAAATGTGTGCAACATGCAAACGAGCAAACCCTCATGCTTGGCTACCATCTCACATACCACCAGCCAACGTCCAAGCCTTCAGGCTGCTAGCCAGCCTGCAACTATTTGTTCAGCTGGCACTGAACGAAGGTGTGTACTATCTCAGCTGCACGTATGAGAGAGCAGAGGGGACATTAGCCCTCATAGTCATGGCATGCCTGCATAAGCCCACCTAAAGCCATGCACTGTAGGCCTAGGGAACCCGACCGCCAGATATACACAGCTTGCAGTTTTTCCAGCGATCAGCAAGGGGTGTACAGCCCCAGGATCTGCCAGTGGCTGGGGGGGGCCCCTGCCCAACCCACAGCTGAAATAGGGCCAGTGTCCAGGGCAGAGGCTCAAGAGATGGCAGGCTGCTGCTGCAGAGATCTCGGACATCACGGCCAAGGTGCTTTATAAAAGAAGTTGAAGTTCTGTAAATTTTGAGTCTTGTAAATTAAGATTGATCCCATGAAGAAGTATAAGTGAGGGAAATTGAGACCAAAGCCAAGCATCCAAATTTTAGCTCCTGCCTGCATACCAACTAATGAAAATACAGAAGAGGCAGCCTTTTTTGAAAGTGAATAGACATCCAAAAATCCTCTGGCACCTTTGCAAATCTAACCACTGACGTGTTGACACTTAACTAGACTTACGTTTCTGACTTCAGGCATTAGGGATTTGAAACTTTGTCTTGCGTCTTTTAATTTAGCAGGACTTTATTGAGCAACCACAGTTTTCCCTAGAAAAACATATTTGTTTCTGAGTAATATTCTCTCTTAGGATCACTTACACGTAGAGCAGGAAAAATTTTAGCACACCTGATGTTTTACTAAGTATGGAGATGAGAATTACCGTGTTTACTTTGTACTCCGAGTCAAGTCAGATTGCCGCATATAGCAGAAGCACGGGACATGGAGCACTGGATGCGATGGCGGAACAGTGCTGGCAGGGAACTGTAAACAGTGCCATAACTTCACTTCCCGAGAGTGATTTGTCCACGTTGTTACACTTTCCACACTCCTCCTGAAAGCTAAGGGAACTTTTACGAGAGGGTGGTGAGAAGTGAAAGTTAGTCTGTTTCCAAATTCAAGAGTGTTTGTCACCAGGGATCAGCAATAAGCAATGCAACTCTTCTGCCTGTATGTTGATACAACACACCAGGGAAATCTCTACATATTTTTTCGTACACACTACAAGTTAATTATTACCACAAGACTTTTCTTTAAAGTCACACTGAAAATATTTTCCCTAAGAAAACAGTAAATGATTGGAAAAGCAAATAAATCAGTGTTTAAGGGCTTGTTATCTTACCATCCTTGCCACAACTGGCTCCTGCAAACTCTGATGATGGATGAGCGCATTAGAACTGTGTGTATTGAAGGCACTACAGGCTTTTCAGTGCCAGCAGCTTAAATACACTGTCAAGTTATAAATCACAGGCCAAAGTTGTGCCTTGACATCATTGCACTCCAAGCAACTCGAATGGCAGTATTATTTTTAAGTCCTTGCCTGTTTCTAAGGAAATATTAGGTTTGGTTTTAATTTACGTTTTTGCCATGTTTGTTTTGCACTTTGCTCAGCTTGAGCAGGGAAACTGGGAGGTACATTTCTAATAAATCTCACTTCTATTCATACATGCTACCTGTGTTTGACTTGCAAATATCACAGGGAAGTGTTAATTTAAAACATTTAAGGAGAAAGGATTTCTGTTATATTGGGCTTATTGGTTTTTCAAACTTTCTTTTTTCTTTTATAAAACTTCAAATCTGAATTAAAATGTCAGCCTTCTCCTGGGACGTGGGACAAACCCACCCCTTCCCTGCCAAGTCTTTCCTTCTGCCCTACATGTTCCACCCACCTGTCCTCTCTGACCGTACTCCATGGAGCTGTTGGTTAACACTTGCCTGCAGCTCTTTCCACCTGCACGTGTTGCAGAACACAACAGCCACCTGCAAACTGGTACTTTGATTCTGTCTCTGTTCTGATTAAGACTCATTTATTCTTTCACTAGGTGCAAAGTTTCCCATTAAATGGACTGCACCGGAAGCAGCATTGTATGGAAGGTTCACAATAAAGTCAGATGTGTGGTCTTTTGGGATCCTACTCACAGAGCTGGTAACAAAAGGGAGAGTGCCGTACCCAGGTAAGAAAACAATCTGAGCCCTGCTTCACCTGGGGAAAGGAGTGGGAATGAGCCATATGCTTAAATTGGAAAGTTTATTCGTTTTCACTGGCTCAAAGGAGAATGGTTATCATGCATAAGTTCTGCGTATGCTTAAAAACGGTCCTGACTCTGAAAGCTGCTATGTGATGGTCATGATAAAAATGACAAGAGGACAGAAAATCCAATGGATTAATTTCTAATTTCTTAGTTGTTCTTAGTTCAGTTAATATACTTTCTAGCCAAATAGTGAAAGCAATGTAAAATTGCTGTACTGAGGAGCAAATTGATCTCCACAGTATTGCATTCACTTTAAGATACCAACAGTTAAACTCCCAGACTGGCATTACCCCGTTTATTCTGTCAGTCTGGTTCTCTGCAAGGTTTGATGACTGTCTGAATGTCTGGTTTTACCAAATCTCTTTTTGATAAACTCTTAAATTTCTATCCATGCTTTCAAGATGGATGGAAAGGAAAGAAAATAATTCCATAATGTGCAGGCCAGAGCTCATGGCAGGGTCACAGCAGGACCAGATTCACTGCATGGGGGAACTGGAGGCCCCCACGGCTCTTTGTTGAAACCCTGCCAAGTATCCAATGGATTAGGATTTGTAGGAGGGATGATTGGATCTGCCTATGCAGAAAGAGCTTTTCATTCTGTTGCCCCCCTGAAGATTGTAGGCATTCAGGTGAAGAGGAAAGGGGTGAGGTGAAAGCAGTGCTTTACATGGAAAATAATTTAATCCCTTCATTTTCTTATCAGTACAGATATTAACAACAGGGCATCTAGCTGCAACTTTATTAGTTTTAGAAAAAAAATCTCTAAATACTCACTGGTATGGCTGTGTGCACTGCAGCTGATTTAATGGAAAGTGCCCTAAAGCAGTTTCAATTTTCCAATCTGTGCTGCGATCAAGCAGTCAGATCCATACATCAAATTGTGCAGGAGAAGCATCAAGGTGGAGTTCAGTTTATCCTGTGGTATCTCACGCCACTTCAGAAGACCAAACTCAGCAAAACTAAACTCCCAGAGTTTTACCAGGAATTTCAACTTTGCTAGCCCCGGCAGCCAGTAGCTGATATTTGGGAAGAGAATATGGGGACTGGAAGGCTTCTCGTGATCAGCAGTGGATTTTGTCATGATTAACAGGGAGTAGTTTAGCAAAGCTGTGACTATGACAAGAGAATGAGGTAGCAGAAAGCGAGATGACGTGTTTCTGTGAGATGGATGAGTCTCTCTGCCCAGCACTTCCCCATGCAGTTAAAGAAAAGTGGGTGTTGCCACCACACGGAGTGGCTGTGTCAGTAGCTGGCACAAAAGTCTTCTTCCCATAAGGATTGCTGGCAGTGGCATGGGAGAGCTGTGATTGAGGGTTAAATGCAGACGTGGCGTGGTGTGCAAAGGTTGAAGACAGAAAGAAGATGTATGAGACTTAGCTGATATGGTATTGCTCCCAGAGGGTGAACAACACTCTTCACTGGGCTGCAGGAGGACAAAATTCCTGGTCACTACTAGCAAAGTGGTGCACGAGGGCTCTCACCAGCCAGGGCAGAGTTAAGGTGAATTTTTTTTCCCTGAGCTCCACATTGGTGGGGCAAATACGTTTACTGAGTAGCCTTCTCTCTTAACACATGCATGAGCATGGACACATGCACACTCACACAAAAAAAATACTATTCTTGGTAAAAGTGACTGTCTAAGCTCCATGTTAACGCACAAGTTTGGAACTGAACACAGTGCTGGCCATGGCGGCAGAGGATGTCTGCACTTCCCAAGCATTACTTTCCCTCCCAGAAGGAGGAGGCGGCCACTGTATGTGCATTTAAGTGCTTGCAATATACATCTTCTTGTAGGATCCATGACAGAAATCTCAGGCATGGTCTGTGTCCTGATAATGTAGACAGTTTTATTATGTGGCAGTCTGAGCACATCAAAGCAACTAGCAACATCTCTCCTCTTTCAGAGCTGTCCTCCCCCTCCATCCTTGACTACATTAAGCCTTCACACACTGAATGTCCTTCCGACTCACTGTCCCCCACCCACACTAGGAAGACATCAAGTAGCTGGAAGCAACTTTTCGTGTGTTACATATCAGAGTCAGCAGTTTTCTACATGGTCATGTACTGCCTTGGTTACACGCTGCCCTAGTTCTATGCCAGGGCCCTTCCTCCCCCACTGGGACTCCCACCCTGCTTAGCCAGGAGGTCTTAACCATTCTCATGGTTCATTGTCACTCCCCTCTCTGTCAGTTTTACCTAAGGGCAGCCTCTATTTTAAATTTGAATTTCCCAAGTCTTTAGATTTCAATTCAGTCTTATTCCCCAAACTATAACTGAGAACGCTTTTATAGACTATAGACTGAGGCAACGGTGAAGGGGAAATGAGGGCTTATCAGAAGGGTCAGTCTTTTTGCATGTGGGTTGAAAAGAGGGCTTGGACTTCCCAAGGCGACAAAGACCTACTGAGCTCCTCAGAAAAGACTCTATTTTCCCCTGCCATAGAAAGGGATCATCCATCTCCTGCTTCATGCTGGGGAGGGAAAGGACCTCCCAGAAGCATAAAGCTTCATGAATTCAGGTCCATGCCTGGGGCAGGGAGTAGGGTTCAGATGCACCCACAGGGCTTTTCCTGCCATCGCAGCATGGCTTGCACAAGGAGCAAAAGACGGGAGTTCAACCACCCTGAAAAGCAAGACTCAGCCTTCCTTACTCAAGTGGACAGCCTACAGGTGAGAGAAAGTAGTTGGTAAGCACTGCCAACCACTTTCGCACCCAACACGTGTGGATTTGCAAGCTCTGAAAAGGGTCAGCCTTGAAACGAAGAGGGTCATGAAGCTGTCACTCTGCTGTAGTACCCAGTTTCTGAAATAGTGTGGACACGTTGTACTGATGTTCCTGCTTACAGCTTGTAGAAGGTGGGAGGGAGTGGGTAGAAGCCCTCAGACAAAGGGACTGCTCTCTTGCTTGACAAGATCATAGTGCCTGGAGAGGTTATTTATAGCACACACCCCAGTCCTGTGGTGGTAACCATGCCTGCAGGGCACTGTTCCTCATGTCTTGGAGAACCAGGCATTTTTTTAAGCTCGTGTAGAAGAAGGGAGAATAGACTGTGTGGAACAGGACTTGGCATTCATTGTCTCCCAGATTTCAACCAGTTCCTGTCCTCATGCCCCATTTTGGCTGGAGCAGTGGCAGGACATATGAGCAGTAAAGATTTTGCTGGCAGAGATGAAGATCAGGCTAGAGTTCATAATCAAGCCTTGCCCCAGACTCTATAGCTCCCACAAGCAAGACTGACTTTTTGACAAGCGTTCTCATCTTCATCCTTCAACCAAGCCTGTTTCTCTGTCAATAGACGTAATGGGCTGCTATGATACCTAATTTATTAGTGCTTTTCCTAGCCTTCACTAATGCTTTTCCATTCTTTTCAGAAGACAGCAGATTGAAATTAGCAACTGTCACCATCTTTCTGGGAATTGAGATTCTATTTCCACTATCACAGCAGGGACATAAAAACTAGATATAGGTAAAAGAAGAGCCAAGTTTAAAAAATAGTCTGCTTAGTTGACCTTTTTCAGTGCTCCTTTCCCCTTTCCCATATTCCCCTTGGATCTTAGTTTTGGGTTTTGGTTTTTGTTTTTTTTTTTTTTTTTTGACAGAGTTTAAGTGTTTCTCTAGCAGTAGCCAGGGAATTTGGGGTTTTTTAACATGTTGCCTTTTGGAAAGGCAAAAATCTCAGCTGCACTAAACAAGCACCTCTGAACTTGCCCCTTCTGGTTTCTGCTGCACTTGCCACATGAAAAGCACTTACATTTTCTGTCTAGTGTGACAGCCACCACAATACTATCCCCATTGCTGCCTCTGGGCAGGCAGGTCTTTGAGTCTGGGCTCCAAGCAGCTCTGCAGTCCCTGTGGAGCTGTGTTCAGCCTCCTCATCCCTGGGGGAAGCTGGGCAACGAGTGCCAGAGAGCACCTGGTACGAGGCCCAAGCCTGAGGCCAAGTACACATCAGTGAGCCGGCATGTGTGTGCGTACCTTCGTCATCATGGATGGTAGATAAGGAGTTGAGAGAGATGCGCACTCAGCACAGATAAGCTCAGGTGAGTTTCTTTGTAAGCAGGAAAGTTCCACTCTCAAATGCTGTAGCTCAAAGTTGTGTCTCTTATACCAAGCAAATAATAACTTATTTTAAAAAACAAAAACCAATCAACCCAAAAAAAAAAACCTCAATAGATATTGACAGCCTAGCTTTGTGGGTGTTTTGAGGATGAGGAGTTGTTCAGGGTTTTCTAGGCCTTAATTTCTAAATGAAGTGGCATGACTTCCAGGTTTTTAAAACTTGTTACTACTTTTGCACAGAAATAACGAGGTTCATATTGTACTCAGTTAGAACAGCATTGTGCTTCAAAGGTTGTCCTTCTTTAGGAGCAGATTTCCTGCTCCCTTCAGTCCCCTATCGTGCCTGCATATGGAATAGTCTCCTTGCCTAAGTCCCATATCCCATCCCTGTGCCCGCCATTCTGGCTTTTCTTTGAAGCTGTCCATGTAAGTTAGAAATTCTGCTTCTAGATCAATCTGAACAAAACCTATAAATCAACCTGTCTCCATTGTACCTCTCTCTTGAGAGCATGCTCCGAGTGCCAACATGATCTAGCCCCTTTGGAGGACTACACAGTTTTACCTTCTCAACTGTACTAGAGAAGGGCCAACATGTCCACGTCTGAGGAACCTTTGAACATGAGCAGAGGTACAGCTCTGGGTTCCTGGAGAATCTGAATCTGAGATTCTGGGGACAGACAGCAGTTTATCTGCTGTTTTGAGTCCGACGTTAAGCATTTGTCTCTGCATTAGTTTGATCGTTGGTCTGAAAGCATGCAGTGGGTCTTGAAGGATCCAAAGTCTCTGTCCAACAGAAGAAAGCCAGAATAAAGTGGCTTAAAACCATCACTGTCCTTACTGGACTTCACGTTGCCCAAAGTAATCTACATAGCTTATTAGCATTGGATGTGGGGATGCTGCCTAGTTACAGTAATGTTTCCTGTCTTCTGGAAGAGCAGCATTGCCCAGATCTGTGCTATTTGCACATCTGCTGTGCTCCATCTAATCAAGCTCCTCAGAGCACTGCAAAGCACTTTCCAGTGTTTTATTTAGCCGAAACTAGAAACTTTACATCCTCTTTATGTCACAGTAACTTTTACTACTGCAGCTTCTCTAGGAAAAGGCAAGCAGCGTTGTGTTTCTGTCTCCAGACCATATGGGCAGTAAATTTCTATTGTATTGAGCATTAAAAGTGGCCATATCCTGTGGCATCCTAAGACTATCGGAGGTTTCACTAACAAAGCTGGATGGTGGAAGTTATTTCATTTTTGCCCCTCTCAGGCAATAAAAAACTAATGGAAAAGCCATCTTTTAGAAATTGGATGTTTCCTTCTTGGTCCAAATGGTAGTTCGGGAAACACCATGAGCACAAACTGATTTTCAAGCAGGTGAAATAGCTGTAGTCCACAGAAGAATATTGCTGAGTAGTTCGTTCTGCAGATTTAAGGATTTTAGGATAAAGTTTTAAGGGGTCTAGAAGCATACTGCAAGTAGAATTTCATTTATTATTTACTAAAAGAGTTGAAACTCTTGGGTATTCATTAGGAGAGAAGAGTTGCACAGGCTGCTCAAATATTCTTTCTGTGGTGTTAGAAGTGCAGATACAACAGGCTCCTGCTATCAAAAGAAACACTAAAACTTGTGGGATAAGATAAGAGAATCTAGATATTAGATTTGTAAACATAAATAAACCTTTCAAGAGGTAAAAGGTATACCTGAAACTGCCATTTTTATAAGCCTGACTAATAATCAAGTCAATTTTGAAAAAAAAAAAAAAAGATAGTTGAAACTCCTTTTTTAAATTAGCAGCACATGTCAAAACTGACAGAATCTCTTTGGCAAATCCTAGGTGCTGCAGCTCTTACTGGACATACGAAATCCAGTAAGGAACACGAGGATTACTTGGTTTAGTTTCATATATGGGTTTCACTGGGAGGAAGGGGGAAGGGGAAAGGAGAAAGGAAAAAAAGAGCATTTTCCTGGATTATGCCGTGATGAGAAAACCTGGCTTGACTGACTTTCCAGGGACAAAAAATGACTAATCTCAGACAGCAATGTCTCTTTTATGTTCTTTTTTCTATCTTTTTTTTTTTTAAAAAAAAAGGAAATTGAAGAGCTGTTTATGTTTTTCCTTCCCCCTCTCCCTCCTCAGGGTTTTTCTTCCAGCATACAGTTTGTTATCAAGTTTCAGAGTGTGCTTTGCAGCACTGAGTAATGCACTGGATAAAAATGCCAAACATTTGATAACTTAGAATAACAAATCAGTTGGGAAGGAGCTTTTCTGCTGCTGTTGCTTCCACCTAGGTTGTACTTGAAAGGGTACTGCCAAAATAAAAACAAAGAATGCAATTTGTTTGCAAGAGAGTGCTGTGGTTCTGCAGTGGAGCTGTTTTGCTTGGCAGTTGGCTTGTCTTCTGAGCAACTTTTTTCACTTCTGGGTTGGGATGGAACAGTGGGATATGGTAGAAACAATACTAGCCAGCACAGATCGAGGGAGCGCTGAACATCAGCTGTAGTAAGTTGCTGAACCAGCGTTGAAGGCAACGCTGCTGGATGTCCCTGGCAGCCCAAAGTAGCAGAGTTTGTCTTGAAGTCTTTGCAGCATGGCCTCACAGAGTGTTTCAAGAAAGGCCCACGCTCAGCATGAGGGTTTCAAAAATTCATCTTAATTTCTATAATTTTGAATAATATTTGTTATTTTCTTTAACCACTTCACATAATATGTTTCACAGCTACTGTTGCTGGGCAGGAAATGTCCCAAATCCTGCTCATTGTGATTAAGCCAAGAGAGTAACCATGGGAGCAGTGTTTTACTCATCACTGGATCCTAAAAACCTCTACTGAGAAAGAAGATAATCCAGGTTACTTTGCAGGAGATGGAGAGCTGAAACAGGACATCGAGGTGGTTTTGTTTCGCTTGTCTGAAGCAGCAGAAATTAGTATGATCGAGAAAACCATACGTATTGTAGATATAGTTATATACTCAGGTTAATTTTCCTGTAATTCAGCACTGTGGATTTGTCTGCCCTTTACAGGCATGAATAACCGTGAAGTCTTGGAGCAAGTAGAACGTGGTTATCGGATGCCATGTCCTCAGGACTGTCCCATCTCCTTGCACGAGCTTATGATCCACTGCTGGAAAAAAGACCCAGAGGAGCGTCCAACTTTCGAATATTTGCAGGGTTTCCTTGAAGACTACTTCACTGCAACAGAACCCCAATACCAGCCCGGCGACAACCTGTAAATCCCTGGTCTCCAGACACTGTCATGAATTACCAGGTGTTTCTCAGCCCTGCCCCACCTGCCCTTCAGCTTCCGACTCCGTGATCGGCTTTTCCCGAGGGCAGGTCTCCAGAGTGCAGCATCTTCCAGCACCGCCGCGCACAGGAGGGGCTGAAGCTAGGAACTTCCGCAGCCCTTGCCTATGACCACTTGTCCTAATAATCTGAATGTCCTGGATGAAAAGGAGAAAAACACTTGTTTTTTCTTAATCAAAGACTCCAAAACTGCATTGTATTGATGTTATGTAAACTGCAAAACCTCTGTTCATTGTAAATAGTAACTCAGTGCCAATAACTGATCCTAGTGCTTTCCTTTTTTTAAAATGCAAAACCTATGTGATTTTAACTAGTCTTCTCCTGATTCAACTAAAAGTATTATTTTCCAGAAGTGGCCTCTTTGTCTAAAACATTTTTTTTCATGTTTTAACAAATAAAATAAAAAAATCAGGACAGGTGTTTGGTTTTTTGCTTTTTTATATATAAAATATATATAATATATATACATACCTGTACATACAGTATATGGGTGCTATTGCAGAGGAAACTCATTTGGAATTGAATGAGTCCTGCTGCAGCAGTGCCCAGAAAGTGATAATTTTACTGCAGACATGAAAACACTGGTGGGATTCTGAAAGCCAGTGATCTAATTTTTGGCTTTTGCCAAGCATGATTTTTTTAAATTGGATTGCACTTTTTGTTTATGATTATGTACCTGTAGATGGTTGTAACTTTGCTCTTTCAGGAATCATGTGCTGTATTTACAGTAATGTTTCCAATGTTTGACAAGTGTGTGATGATTTGTTCTTGAAATTAAAATGAACATATTTAAAGCAAGAAAACTACACCATCACCGTTTGAACTGGAAAATTGAAACCGCAAGGACTTCTTGTATCAAAACATGTATACTGAAATGTTTCAAAAAGATTTATTAGACAGCGTAACCACATTCAGATGGTCTTAAAATCATAGCATTTTAGCCATGTCCACCTGCTAAACTGTTGGTCATGCAACTAGGATTTTTCTGTTTTGTGTGTAACATTTTTCCATTGTAAAATAAGTGTGTTAAATGTCCTGTACTGCTAATGAAATTACTTTCTCTATGTCCGCAAATTCTCCAGTGGAATTACTATGCACTTCTTTACATTTCATGAGGGATGCACAGAACAAAGTATTACCTTTTCAGTTGTCTGTACCAGCCTTGAATTACTTACGTTTAACCAAAAACAAAAATTCCTTTCTACTTCTATTGAGTTTTTAATACTGAGTTGCAAATTTTAAAGTCTTAATTACATTTTGTTATGTTTTATTTGCAAGTTTACATTTTAAAACTGTTTAACTTTCTTAATTTAGTAATTAAAAAAGAGCATTTTACATTTGGATAGTTGTTCTTTTGTTTAAACTGTGGAGATAATGGTGGAGATGAGATAAAAACTTTTCGAGAAGGGGTGTCATGCCATTTGGGGCATCATATTTCGTAGGAATATGCAGACTGGTTACCTATGGGACATCATTTTCCAAGTAATGAAGTCAATATGTTTTAAACAGCTGGAGTTCAACTGTAAGGTTGAATGCATGGCTAGTGTCTCATTTCTCTGTTCTACGAGCAGTTTATTCTTTAATAGTTCTGTTGCATTTAGCGTGAATGCTTTTACATTTTCAAGTGTTGCAGGAGAAGATTTTCTATGCCTTGTATTGCTGTTATTGCTTTAAAATATTGGAACTAAGTAAGATTTCCTGACAGTCAAAACTTTTTTAAAAATATTTAATACTTAGATTGTGAATTCATGTTCTGAATATTCACACATTTTCTAGAGAGAACCTTTTTCCATTCCTGAGAACTAACCCAATAATGAATTGAAATTCAGAGAACAAATTATCATCGTTTTAATATTTTCTATACAAAACATTGACTGAAAATCCTCTTGCCAAGGGAGGTTCCACACTTAGCCTTCCTTGAAGTGTGAATTTATGTGGCAATGTTGCTTGTTACCAGATTTCCATGACAAATTGGTTAACGTTTTACATGTAGAGTCTATAAGTAATGTTATGTACATGATATATTCAATGTTGCTGTACCTGTAGCTGTGGAGTACTGAAGAGGCCATAATTCTTGTTGGACTTGTAGTTTCCTCTTAGTACTTACGAAGCGAGTCGTGGTCCTCTTTTTCCCACAGCTACCCCCCTGCCTTAAAACGTCATCCACTGAACTGAGGACTCCGTAGTAGCTCAGCGGGCTGGCGAAGCCAAAATGTCGCGTGCTCGGTGGCAAAGCATGGCCGTTCTGCCAAGCTCCTTAGCAGCCTTTGCCATGCCACAAACTTCAGTATCGTTTCCATCTGTAACGCAGGATGAGCCTAAAACATTAGTTTTGCCTACGTTTCTCATTGGAAGTAAGACTCAGCTGGGGCGTTGTCGGGGTTTGATGGCCTTTATTTCGGATTCTTGGGTTTGTTGTTTCTTGTATCGCATTCAGTCTATGAGTACCATGTTGGTCTCTGCCGCATCTCTGCCTGCAGCTGGCTTGTGTGCAGACTGGTGCCGCTGTTGAGTGGCAAATCCAGACCATTTCTCATCAGTAGCTCTTCTGCTTCTTTTTCTTAATGTTGGGAGTTTTGTTGTTTGGGTTTTTTAATCTCTCAAATAAAAACATTAGCAAAAATTTAAACAAGGTTGTTAGCATTTTTGCTATAAATTAATAAAAACCTTTTCTTAAGCACTGTGTATACACTACACCACAAACAGCTGCGTGGTGACTGTAAAAGCTGACTTATTAGATTAAAAATTTCCTATTCCCTCCAATAATTTTTTTAATGTAAGGCTAAATAAATTCTATCCAGATAAAAACAATTGGCCCAACGCTCCCCCCATTAGCCCACCTGACTCCCAACTGATCCGTGGCATGGCAGCGAAGTTCCAGAAGAGGTGACCCACCAGCAGCTGAAAGGACTCCGTGGGGAGACCCAGGCATCTCTAGGCCAAGCTTAATCCAACACTGGTCCCAGGAAAAAGGACAGGTGGAAACGCAACACAGCCATGAAAGGGACGGTTAGTACGATCAGTGCTTGTTAACGTATTTCTATGGGAAGGAAATGATGTGAGACTTGGTGGGTCTTCGAAAAGGTCCAAAGTTTGTCAAAGGCACTAGCATGATATTCTTTGGCTCCTGCAAACAGTGTTGGACTTGGTTCCATGTGACGCTCTGGTTTTGATTTAATTACCGCTATAGAAAAACAAACTAAATACAAGATAGAAAAGTGATTAACTGCTAAAATTACAAGAATAATCATAAACGGAAAATCTGTCTCCAGTGCGAGTGTTTCTCCTGAAGCCTCTGGCCTGGAAAGGACTACCTGCAGACCGAGATGGCAGATTGCTAAATGTATTTGACCTTGCCACATAATTTCAAGGTGAGTGGGAAGTTGCTCAGATTTATTTTAATATGCACCATCCTTTTCTCCAAGGCTGCAATAAGAAAGCAGTACACTAATGAATGCTACCGCATTGTACCCAGGGGGTTTAAGGGCCTCGCGTGAGGCTCAGCCCAAGCATGCAAGAGCTATTAGGAGATATACAGTAGCTCCTCTTCTAATGTGTAGACAATATTCATTCATCAAAGAAGGCTTTTCCTGTCTAATGGGAAATTACCACAAGCAGTGCAGACAAAAGGATATTTATTTTCTCCAATCGTGTCAGTTTGCGGGTCTGTCTGTCTTTCAAGAATAATTGAAGTCTGTTTGTAGCTCAGAAATCTCATTGTGCTCTGCAATCTCAGTAAGCAGTGATTATAATTTCCTGTGACTCATACACAGGGAAATTTTATCACTAAAGGGGCTCCTATCAATTGGGGCAGCATTCTCTGCCATCTTAACTGAAGAAGGGGCACTTCAGTTTTGGATTTTCCTGCACAGACCAAACCAGAACCCTTGTCCTTTCAGCAGCAAAGGGA